TTACTTCTCTAATAACCCCGGGGAAAAGAAAGTTAAACTTGAATATTCCTACTAAATAAGGAAACCCAAAAAGCTTAAAGGTCAACTAAAGGCGAAGCAAGTTTCTGAACCACCCCCTTTTTACCCCGAACGGCTGAACCCTGCCATAAAAACCCTAAGCCCCTAGCCCAGACAGAGCATTTAGACCAACCCTAAACCCTAAACCCTTAACCCTAAACCGCCAAGCGGCGCAGACCCCAGGTCATAGCGTCCCGGAAGGCCTGTTCTGAGATTTGCTTTCGCCGGGTTGGCCATTCACAGCCTCTGGAAATGAACTCTAGGGTTTAGGGTTTAGGGTTTAGGGTTTAGGGTTCCCTTTCACTTGGACCTACGGGATATTAAGGAAGGCTTAGGGTTTAGGGTTTAGGGTTTAGGGTTTAGGGTTTAGGGCTTAGGGCTTAGGGTTTAGGAGGTTACCTACGCAGCCAATGCTACCACTGCAGCCCTGGAGAGGGAGGCTGGGCCATCTCGAGGCGATGAGAACAACAGCCGTTGCAAAAGTTGAGAAGGCCAGCCATCCCCGGTACAGCTAAACCCTAAACCCTAAACCCTAAACCCTAAACCCTAAACCCTAAACCCTAAACCCTAAACCCTAAACCCTAGACTATAGGGTCCAGGGTTTAGGGTTTCCTACACCCTTACCATGCTTCTCTAGCGAATGCCTGCAGAGCTGTGGGTGGAACAACTCTCGGGACGTGCCTTGCGCCTCTGGCTACTTTTGTAGACATGAACACCTGCATCCGTGCCTATGTCTTCCCCAACCCCAAAGCGCTTCTTTGCTTAAGGTTTAGTTGCTCAGGATCTATAAACCCTAATTAAACCCTAAACCCTAACCCTAAACCCTGGTGCGCCAGGGCTCAGTGACCTAAACCCTAAACCCTAAACCCCAAACCTGTTCCTGACCAAAAGGCGGTTGCCAAGACCGCTGGGATCATGGGCGGCACTCCACGTCCTCGGTCTGCGTACTTGCGGTAAGTAGTATGGCTTTGGGGTTTAGCGGTTTAGGGGGTTTAGGGGTTGAGAGTTTTTTTTTGGGCCTTGGAGTTTAATGGGGAAGGGGGGGTGGGGGGAGCGAGGGCGGTGGGGGTGGGAGGGTTCGGAAAGCCCTTGACTCTTTGCAAGGTTCCGGCTTATATATCTAGGATGGCCGAGATAAAGCACCCTCTGAAACAACGCTCCTGAACATCACCCTCTTCAACCCAACAAGGGGATCATGATAAAATATCCCAAAAGGGCCTACCTCGATATGGACATTCCCAGACGCTGGGAGGATCCAACAAATAGATCCCCTTGAGGTTCCCAGAAAAATGGCCCACTAGCAGTAAGGGGACAATTTGGGGGCATCCCCTTCAGGGTTCCGAAGAATGACCCAGTGGTAGTAAACGGTACGTTATTTGGGGGTTCTACTTTTTGGATCCTCCTAGGGGTCTGGGAATTGAACTGGAACACCACGCCGAGGCTCAGGATGCATGGACTTGCAGAAAGTCTCCCATGAACAGCTTGCGGAAATTCTAAACAGGGTTTAGGGTCTAGGGTTTAGGGTTTAGGGTTTAGGGTTTAGGGTTTAGGGTTTAGGGTTTAGGCCACCAACCCTGAAACCTAAACCCTAACCCTAGAAGCAGACCAGCCACGCTGCAGGGTAAAGGGTTCAGGGTTTAGGGAGAAAAAAAACGCTCCAGCAGAGAGTCTGGTGCAAGTCCATCAGGCTCTTCATGAGCTGGCAAGGGACGATGGAAGAACGTCATGCGTAAAAAACTCACAGCGTCCTAAATTTACTAGCCCAGCACCCATCAGATTAAAGTAATACCCACTCTTTGAGGGCTGGTTGCTTTTCGCAACCAGGACTGCAAAGCTGCCAGGAAGTTCAGGCCCACACAACCAGCATGGGGGCTGGTTACTACTTAAGGAATCCTTGAACCAATACAAAGGGCAACCTGACGTTTGCTTAAGAACCCCAAAAGAATAAAGAATAGTAATCCCTATATTAACCTGAATTTGGAAGAATATTCTTGCTTTTTTCTGGGTTCTTAAGCAATTAGTAGCAACAGAAAAGGGTAGCCACTGGGCTACCAAGTAGACCTCACACTGAGAACTCCCACTTGGTGAGCCTGCTCCGTCGTGCTCACGTCGAAGAGGTTCCGCACCACCACGACGCGGTGCTCACGAAAAATCGCCGCTGCCGACTTTGTCCAGTCGCTGCCCTCCAGTACCTCCTTGTTCCAAAGAAACCAAATCGAAAGTTGCTTCGAGTAGGTATTTCGGGCATGTTTGTCTCGTGCTTGCATCGGGGTAAAAAGGGATGCACAGCGGGCAGAAAGGTTCTTGAGTTACACTAAGCACTAAACCCTAAACCCTAAACGTTTAGCACCATGTCTTAGGCCAAACCCAGGGTAACAAAGAAGTGAGCGACACGATGCACGGGCACGGCGCCCCTACCTCCTGGAATATGAACTGAGGTCGAGAATCTAGACTTCTCTGGGTATTTCCCATAATAGGGGCACCACTTTTATACCCCAAATAGAATAGAATCCCCTTGAAAGGACCCCCAAAAAGCCTTTTTGGGAAACCCCATATCTGTAGCTGCAGGTTCCTTAGTTAGGGTCCCTTTGGGGCTTCTATGACTACATACTATGTCGGGTATCCAACAAAGGGACCAAAATCACCCTAAACTCCCTAAACCCTAAACCCTAAACCCTAAACCCATGGCAACTGACCTCGGCTAAGGCGGGTCCTGAGCGTCCACTGTGAGCGCCGCCAGATCTAATGTGGAGGACTGGGCTGCCTGTTTGGGAGGCATGAGCTCTACACAAACCGCGAACGAGACATGCACAGATATCTGAGAACGACCCTTCCCTGGAAAGGATGACCAACTGTCCTGACCTTAAATCGCATTTTTGCATGCCTTATTGTACACCCCTGTCTCGTCGTGTGTCCAATCTCTCTGATCTGTGAAGACTGCCAGGGGCCGCCAGGTTTGCGTATACCCCAAACCTAAACCCTAAACCCTAAACCCTTAAGGGATGAATATTGGCAGTGACTCAGGATCCTGTACTACAAGAGTTCAGCCTCAAGTGTTCGATGCCTTCGGAAGGGCTGATCCAAACATCATGAACCCTAGTTGTAAACGTCCCCTACACCCTAAACCGCCTAAACCCTAAACCCTAAACCCCAAACCCTAAACCCTAAACCCCCCCAAAACCCTACAGGCTTGCATGCCGCGGCTGGCCGTCCGTCGCGAAGGCTGTGAGAGACGGAAACGGCTGTCGGCCAATCAAGATCCCTCAAAGGAGAGTGAGCAGCCTAGCGGCCGACTCATCCGGGATGAGATCCGAGATGACGCAAGCACATCATGTACTTGTAGGGCGAGGTCGTGGCTCGAAGAATCACGTAGTAATGCAAGAACAGGCCATCAAGATTCCATCCGGAACGAAACTGGGCAGAAGCATTGCACAAAGGAAGGAGTGGTCACCATCACCACGACTAATCCACATGAGCCCCAAACAAACCCTTCCACTTCCACCAAAGCCTTCTTTTGCAACTAGGCGTCAGCAAACTCAAACAGGGAACCCAACGAGGATACATCATCAGGCATTTCCCAAAGCAAGCAACATAGTGTAAGCCTTACTGCTAGGATGGCCCATAAAACCCTCCGACAAAACATTCCGAGATATCACCCTCTTAGACCAAGGGAAACACATAACCATAATATCACGAGGGACTACCTAGACTGAAGGCTTAGGATATAGCGTTTGTGGGGTTTAGGGTTTAGGGTTACTTGCTGTAAAAAACACCCTGTTGTGGGAAACCCTTCAACTTAGGGCTTGCGGTTTGTAGGGTCGGGTGTAGGGCGTGTAGGGTTTAGGGCTACTTGCTGCAGAATCCCTGTTTTGGGACCCCCCCCCCCCCCCCACCTCAGTTTTGTATAGGTTATTTGCTGTAGAATCCCTAGTTTGGGAACCCCCACCCAATATTTCCTACACCCTAAACCCTAAACTCCCCCAACTCAGATTTTGTTTCCAAATTGGAGCCTCCTGCCGCCTAGGCGACCGCGAGCGGGTCGCCATGGCAGTTGGACTCTGCTCTGTGCTAACGCATAGGGTTTAGGGTTTAGGTTTTAGGGTTTAGGGTTTAGGGTTTAGGGTTTAGGGTTCAGGGTTTAGGGTTCAGAGTTGAGGGTTTAGGGTTTTTTGGGTATAGGGTATACGGTATAGGGTTTAGGGAGATTCCATTTCTCTGCCTTTGTGCGGGGGCATCGGCAATGAAGGCTAGCATCTCTCTTAGGTTCTTAAGCAATTAGTAGCTTATTGCAGGCAGACACGTGCACGGCGTCACTCCAGGTTGCCACAGTAGCACCCATGAGACCATAAAAGGGTTTAGGGTTTAGGGTTTAAGGCTACTTGGAGGTTCATGGGGAGTTATCAGTGGGGTTCTAAGCATGGTAGCTATGCTTAGAACCCTATTTCGGATACAATATAACCCGACTTAGAACTAATCTTGAACCTCCAAGGTTGTTGGCAGCAAGAAACCTACAGAATGCCTGAGCGTTTGTATGTGCATGCTCAGCAAAGACTTGTGCCTCTCTTCCCTCTCCCCTAAACCCTTGTGTTAAGCACGGACTAAGGAGGCTGCCGGCAACACCTGAAAGCAGGGCCTTCTTGCCTTTAGCAAGAGTTGCATCAACAGGCGAAACCGAGGTTATCCAGAACTGGGATGTACAAACTAGAGGAGCACTGCCAGAAGCCCAGACCCAAAACCGCAGAGCAACAGCATGGCACATCGCCCCAGAAACCAAGACCATGAAGTATGAATGGCTATTTCTTTGCTTGAGAACCCCCCCCAACCCAGAAGAACAAAAAACAAACTTATAGAATTATCTTTCTTCTAAGGGCAACATAGGGATTGTTATCTTTTGTTTTTGTGGGTTCTTAAGCTAATTTAGACTTACGCCGCCCTCCTCCTGCCTGGCCCCCCTTCGACGAGAACTCGCTGGGACGGAAAGCAACTTCTTTCGGCCTCCGCCGTTTGCCTGAATGCGCAAGCAACAACTCTGCTTCATGGTAACTAGCCCAGTAACCATATTGTGATCAGGGTACCCTTTTTTAACTACTCTATAAGGGAACCCAGAAAAAAAAAACAAAGTAAAGGGTATCTCTGGGCTACCAAGTCTCTAAGCATGCGAAAGCACTTGGAAGCGAAGAAGGCCCGTTTAAGCTGGAGGGCGCCGAGTGCTGCGTTGACAAACCCCTAAAGCCCTAAACCCCTAAACCCCTAAGACCCTAAACCCCTAAACCCCTAAACCTCGAAACCCCTAAACCCCTCAACCCCCAGTATGGTCTCATGGGTGCTACTCTGGCAATCTGGGGTGATGCTCACATCTCTGCCTGCACATATGCGAGATGCAAGCCCTGTCAGGCGGCCATACTCGCTCCCAAGTCCCCTAACAACGACGGAGAAATGGAATTGAACTCCCCTAAGCCCTAAGCGCTAAGCCCTAAACGCCTAAACCCTGAAGCCCAAACCCCTAGCCCCGAAACCCTAAACCCTGACAGAACCGGCGGTGCACCCAACGATCCTTTAGCAACAGTCGCGGCAACCTTCCCGCATGACTTACACCCCTCTCCTGTGATTAATTTTTGGGGGGTCTGTTGCTTTTGGGCTTCTTTCAGGGCAGCTGTTGCAAACCCTATAAACCCTAAACCGGCCCTAAACCCTAAACCCCGACACGAATGGAGAAAGAAGATAAGTCTCCTTTAGGATGGCTGTCTTCAACCGTGCACCGCCCTCGTTTCCTTAAGATTCAACCAAGACCAACAACACCATCAACAAAAAACATGTGCACATACATATATGTATGAATGTGTATATATATATATAGAGAGATAGATAGAGAGAGAGCGAGAAATATATATATATATATATGTATATGTATTTCTGTATATATGAATATATGACTAATATATGTATATATGTATATATGTATGTATGTATGTATGTGTGTATGTATCTATATACATATATACATATACGCACAGCAATTGCTTCTACACCGGGGGTGGGCGGGAGGGGTGGAGGAGGAATGGAGGAAAAAAAACGTAAGATTTCCGAACTCACCCTAAGCCCTAAACCCTGAACCCTAAACCCTAATAAACCCTAAACCCTAAACCCTAAACCCTAAACCCTAAACCCTAGAATCTTTCGACTGCTGCGACCAGGCTGCAGAAGCATCCCAGCAAGCCGGTCCAACCCGTCTCCATGTCCTTTAGTCGCCCGTTCCTGTGTGGGTTTAGGGTTTAGGGTTTAGGGTTTAGGGTTTAGGGTTTAGGGTTTAGGGTTTAGGGTTTAGGGTTTAGGGTTGGGGGGTTTCGGGTCTAGCGGTTTAGGGTTTAGTCTTCTGGTGATTTGAGGGAGTTGAAAGGAGCACCTGACGCAAAGGAATATGTTCCGCCCCTAACAGCGACTTGCTTTGGCCGATGGTGGCTAGGTTCCTACCTCCTTGGCAGGGGGGGGTGGCAGCGGCGGGGGGGCAGGGGAGGGGAAGGGCGGGGGCAGTGGGGGGGCAGGGGGCAGGGGGGCAAAAGACTTTTTTGAGTGAGTAAGTGGTAGAAGGTACAAAGGAGGAGTTCGTGTTTAGGGCATAAGGTTCAGACAGAGTCTAGGCATCAAGCTGCATTAGGTCGGTGTTAAGGGGCCTTGGTAAGCCTTTGCCTTCGTCCTCTTCCAACCTTTCCAGCCACGACATCGCGACCCCTAAGCCCTAAACCCTAAACCCTAAACTAGCAGATACCCATTTCGAGCAGTGATTTGATGCAGAAAAGGCTCAAGAACAGCGCGTCGCTTTTTTGCCGGGCGAGGCAGTCGTTCAACCTCGGCCGGCGGTCGTTTCCCCTTTTTGTTGTTTTTTGCGGAGCTGAAGTTGAGTGGTGGTAATGCCACACCAAACTGGGGTAGGTTTGGGGTTCCTAAAAACAGGAAAAAACTTAAACACTATGTGCAAACCTACCCCACCCAAACCGTGTCCGTGCCAACACGCACTTGGTGTAGTTACATGAGAACAACTCGGTCATAAACCTCAACAGCTGACGCAGCCTCCACTTTGCAGCCAAGGGGCCGCGCCTCTACCTGACAACTGCGGCGGGTTTTGTGTGTTTAGGGGTATATCCCTGTACACCTAAGTAGCCCCTACATTTCCCCGAAGGTCCCTTATAAGGGTCAAGGGCGCCCCATGAACAACTGCATTTTCTACGGGTTACAGCTGTAGGCACAGAACTGTAAAAGTCATTTAGGGGAGTGCTTCAGCACATGACGGCCTTGTTCAGAAACGTGATAATTATTTTCTTCGGGCCCCCCTCCCCGAAAAACAACCATGTACATGTGTCTTTCTTCCACATAAGAATGATACAGGGATTATTATCTTTCTTTTGAGGGAGTTCTTATATGGTTGAGCTAGGTTCCCAACAGTAACAGGAAGGAAGCCATAACGTTTGGACGAGCATTTGAGCTTCTTCCCAATGTGAGCAGCCGGCTTGCGAGTAGACCTGGACATCTTTGGGGACCCAATGACCCCCCAAAAAGGGGGTCGTATACCCTAGACTACTCTAATCCCCGTTAGGGTATATGAACCGTACACCCTTTTAGGGTTCATTTTGCTCACCAAGGATTACGAACCTTCGTTGCCCCTATTCCCTTCTTCCAGTTGCGTGTGCAAGAAACCCTCAGCCGCCCAAAACTCGAAATCACCAGAAACGGTATGGGGTTGTCAGGTCATCAGGGTTATGAATAGGACTTCAGGTCTAGGTTTATTCGGACCCCCAAGACCCATTTTGTTGACTGAAGTCAGCTGGGGAAGGCCTTGACAAACTTAATGTAGCCCTGAATGAAACCTTTTTTGAATTCGGAACACCCTAATTAAACTCTAAACCTTACTAGACCCTACGCTTGAAGCCCTTCTGGCCCTAAACCCTAAACCCTAAACCCTAAACCCTAAACCCGGCCTCTTTGTGCGCGGTGCCCAAGGCCCGCTGTACGGCTGTGAGATTCACCATGGTGGGGTTGAACTGGCGGAGGGGTTGTGGGTTGCTTTGCCAGCGGGATTTGGTAAATCCTAAACCCTAAACCCTAAACCCTAAACCCTAAACCCTAAGCCCTAAACCCCAAGCTCTACAAAACCTAGGGCCCAGGGTTTTTAGGGACTCAGGGTCTAATTTCACTCCGCCCCCCCTTGTTGCAAACCCACTCCGAACGCCCCAGCACAAAACCGGCACAGGGATCCATTTAGCCCGGTTGAGGTGGTGAAGGCTTTAGGGTTTAGGGTTTAGGGTCTAGGGTCTAGGGTTTAGGGTTTAGGGTTTAGGGTTTAGGGTTTAGGGTTTAGGGTTTAGGGTTTAGGGTTTAGGACTCCCGCAAACCCTCAAAGTCCCTAAGCAAGAGAAGCTCAGGGAAACTCTCTGGCGGAACTCGATGAATGCAGCGCTAGGGTCTAGGGTCTAGGGTCTAGGGTTTAGGGTTTAGGGTTTAGGGTTTAGGGTTTAGGGTTTAGGGTTGAGGGTTGAGGGTTTAGGCAAACTCCACCACGCAACTCCAATCCTTGAGACCCAGTTTAGGGTATTTACAACCCTACTTACCGTCTGTAGGTGCCTTAAGGCACCCTGAGTACACCCTAAACCCTAAACCCTATACCCTAGGTACCCGAATAGGTAGTATCTTTGAACCTTTTTGGTTGTTAGGGCTTGGGTTCCATCGCGGTTTAGGGTGTAGGGTTTAGTGTTTAGGGTTTAGGGCCAAAAAGGGCACCCTTTGTATTCCTAAGGTTGCTCTTGGGGTCTTGGAGGTTCATTGGTAAGTAGAAGTAGGGTGTTAAGTATGATAACTATACTCGTAGCACCCTTAAGGGCATTTATAACCCTACTTGCCACTCTAAGTACCTCCACCTGTACCTCCACCTAGACCATCCTAGCTCCCCCCCTCCCCCCCAAGCTCGCCAAAATCATGGCATCTGTTGCCCCCTCTCCTTGGTTTTGGCGGCTGGGAGCTGGTGATTCCGGGCCCTAAGCCCTAAACCCTCTACCCCAAACCCCAAACCCCTAAACCCCAAACCCCCAAAACCCCTAAACCCCAAAACCCTAAACCCTAAACCCCCCAAACCTTAAACCCTAAACCCAAAAAAACCCTAAACCCCTAAACCCTAAACCCCCCAAACCTTAAACCCTCTCTCTCTCTCTCTCACAGGCGCTCAGTCAATGTCAGGCCTGTCGTGGCATCACAGCCAGCACAAAGAGGCAATGGCCCGCGACCACCTTAAACCCTAAACCCAAAAAACCCCAAACCCTAAACCCCCCAAACCCCAAACCCTAAACCCTACGAACCTCTTCAGGCCTCGTCCTCCAGAGCCGACCGCATGGTGGCGTGGTCCAGCCTTGCGCTGTGGGATTTGGGGTTACGGTTTAGGGTTTAGGGGGACCTGGTCCTTTTTTTGTGTAAAAGACCTGGTCCCGTGTTAGGCTTGTGGCAATTTGTTGCATACTTTTGGGGGTCCGTGGCGTAATAATCAGGAATGCCCTGTAGAACTTGAGGTATGTTGTGGCATGGTCCTTGAATAAAGGGGTCATTGCCACCATATTCAACCTTCCTCACTGCCTACATGACGCTGTGGAAACCCATATTTCCTCGAGCTTTGAAAAGCTTTGCTCGTTGCTGCTCGCAACATTGTTCTCGAAAGCCCCGTGGGCCTGAAGTGACTTGGCTAAAAATAGAGGGGTCACGAAATCGAAAGTTCTAAAGGGCAAGTGTTGATGGTGCAGCGGGCGCAAATGGGAAACCCTAACCACCCCTCCCCCTGCAGGACGCCCACCGTGGGCCTCAGAGCTTGTAGGTCAAGCTGGATTTGCGCGTCGGCCGTTTCCTTAGCTTCATGTGCAGCAGGGTTTATATATGGTTCAGCGTCGGGCGTTCCCGGCCCCCCCCCCCCAAGTCTACTCCACGGTCCCTAAACCCTAAACCCTAAACCCTAAAACCTAAACCCTAACCCTAAACCCTAAACCCTAAAACCCTAAAGCCCTAAACCCTAAACCCGAAACCCTAAACCTTAAGTCTTAAACCTTAAACCCTAAACCCTAAAACCCTGAACCCTAAACCCTAACCCTAAAACCAACCCCCAACCACACCACAGGGGGGGGGGGGTATCATCTTAGTACCCCATCCGCGGGGAAAACCCTAAACCCTAAACCCTAAACCCTAAACCCTAAAACCCTAAAACCCTAAACCCTAAACCCTAAAACCCTAAACCCTACCCTAAACCCTAAAACCCTAAACCCTAAACCCTAAAAAACCCTAAAACCCTAAACCTAAAACCCCCAACCACACCACGGGGGGGGGGGGGGGGGTATCATCTTAGTACCCCATGGGGGGGGGGGGAGGGGGGGGGGGTAGGGGGAGGGGGGGGGGTTAGGGGGGGGGGGGTAGGGGGGGGGGGTAGGGGGGGGGGGGGGGGGGGGGCTGCGGGGCTGAACCATATATTCCCTGTATCCCCAGTACACCAAGTAGATTCCCTGTATCCCCAGTACACCAAGTAGATGCACTCACCAATATTATAAAAGAACCATATATACACTCACCAATAACAGCAATTAAAACCCTGCCTCAGTGTCGCTGTCTGGGCTCAAGTTTGATGGAGCTGGGATGCTTGGCATGAGCATATGGTGGTCTGTAAAGCCAGAGGCCCCAAGAGGCCCCAAGAGGCCCGCTGCCACTGACGGGGGTTTAGGGTTTAGGGTTTAGGGTTTAGGGTTTAGGGTTTAGGGTTTAGGGTTGGGGGTAGACTGTCTTGTAGGTTTTCCCTGGCCCTGTCCCTGCTGCTCCCAAAACAACTCACTCCTCCGGTGAAGCCACCGTGCACTTCAGCACTTCAGTTAAGTACTGTAGCAACTCCTTTTCTTCTTGTTGATGACCACAGATAGAGAACCCCTAAACCCCAGCCCCTAAACCCTTAAACACTAAAACCTAAACCCTAAACCCTAAACCCTCCTTTGCCTTCATTATCGCTCCTGGATCCATCCTACATTTTTACCACATGAAGCGCGCCGTCTCACCGTTGGGCCACGCAAACGGCTTGTACACAAACACCGCCAACGTCAACAGGTTTACCACCAAGTAGGCGAGCGCCAGCAGAGCAACGCTGCGCCAAGAGCGGCCGTGGAAGTGCAGGTGCGCCATGATGACCGCTGTCGTCCAGTAGCCTAGGTTGCCCAGTAACCTAGGATTAAAAAAGGTGCCCTTTTTTGCTTAAAGGGGTTTATAGGGGAACCTAGAGCCCCCAAAAAGGGAATAAGGGCACTACTGGGCATCCAAGTAGCGCGGCTCCAGGAGAGGCGCAGGCACCAGGGTCAAAGAGGCAGCCACCCAATAGATGAGCACCCAAAGTCCCGACTGAGCCTGGCTGCCCAAAGAGCCCAATATTGCTTAACTAAGGAATATTCCTTAAATCATAGTAAGGATCCCTATATGATTTAAGGCAGATTCCTTAATTAAGCAATATTGGGCTCTTTGGGTGGAGATTTCTCTCGGGGGGTCCTAAGTCCGAAAGCCCTTTATACCCCTTAGTTCAGGAATCTAACTTAAGTTATAATAGTAGGGATCCTTCAGATGACTTGAGGTCTATTCCTGAAGGGGTATCAAGGGCTCTTTGGGCTCATAAGCAATAGCAAAAAGTGAGTTTCGCCTTTAGGGTCTAGGGTCTAGGGTCTAGGGTCTAGGGTCTAGGGTTTAGGGTTTAGGGTTTAGGGTTTAGGGTTTAGGGTCTAGGGTGGGTTTCAGTCCTGGCTCAGCCGCTTGGAGATGTACCAAGCTGCGTAGAGGTAGCCCGGCGCCAAAATGTCTCTGAGCCATGGGCGCCTGAGAAATCGATTCCTTCGTAGCCCAGTAACCATATTCTAAGGGTACCCTTCTTTGGGGTTTGCTACTTTATAATATAAGGGAACCCAAAACAACAAAAAAAAGTAAAGGGTACCGCGGGGCTACCAAGATTCCACAAGTAGAACGTGTAGTGGCGGTTGTCTGCCAGAAGAAAGGGATGCGCCAGGCTGTACCTATACTCCCCTTAGAACCTTAATACAAATATTACTTTTTTGCATATCCTCTTGGGTCTTTTATAAGCAAAATATTTTTTTAAAAGAAGGGACAAAGGTACTTGTGCACCACGCCAACCACAACAGCCATGGCCCCGACTGACAGAAGGAACCCAGCGAAGCTGCTGCTGCAGGCCCCCCCAAAAGTCCTCAGCCACCTGGGATGTATAGAAGTTAGATGCATTTTGCTTCTTCCCCACACGATTAGGGTTTAGGGTTTAGGGTTTAGGGCCATTGAGTTTGATTGTCGTCGCATGAAATTTCTACGCGAAGCGCCCACCTGGGAGAAAGAGCCGAGTCGTCCACTGACCAGGTCGCAGCCGTCACCGCGCTGAGGTAGGCAAGCTGTGCCCAATGAGGCGCAACCTCATGGGATGTTCCCCCTTATTGACGAAAAGCTCCTTCATAGGGATTATGATAGGGGGTACATATATTCCCTATTAAGATGATAAGGGGGGGGTACATAGAATCCCTATTAAGGACTGTGCGTATAAGGGGGAACATCCCATCGCAACCTCATGGTTGGAGTGATCCCCAACAACGATGGAGCCATTGTAGAACACAAAGGCGATGAAGAGAAGGACGGGAATGAGCATCATGCCCAGGCGTCCAAGCAACCTCCTCTTACCATTTGCTTAAGAACCCCCCTTAAAAAAATATACAAAGAAAAATGATGCCTACTCTGGCCCTTATTGCCCTTATAAGGAAGAATGTTTGTTTGTTGTTGTTTTTTTTTTTTTTTGGGGGGGGGGGGGGGGTTCTTAAGCAACTAGTAGTCCTGGCTTCCAGGATCAGGGCCTTGGCAAAGGTTGTCAGCTTCTGAAATGTCACTTCCTCCCCATTCAGCCTTGGTGGCCCAGTAACCACATTGTAGTAAGGGTACCGCGGGATGTTCCCCCTTATACTAACTAAGGGGGTACATCCCAAAGGGTACCCATTTTTGGGGGTTGGTTACTTTACAAGGGAACCCTAAACCCTAAACCCTAAACCCTAAACCCTAAACCCTAAACCCTAAACCCTAGGGGCAAAAGGGTACTGGGCAGCCAAGGAGCTCACCCCACTTGGTCGACTGCAGGTCCCGCAGTGCTGCGGTGCCGAAGCTGAACATGAGCCAGACGGCATTCCTTGGTTTAGGGTTTAGGGTTTAGGGTTTGGGGTTTCCGGTTTAGGGCTTGGGGTTCAGGGTTTAAGCGACTGTCAAGGCTCGAATGATCCTTCCGGCTTTGGGGTTTAGGTTTTTTTGCCCCTCCGAGTCCACATCGCAGGGCGATTAGGTTTATGGTTTGGGGGTTTGGACTCTCAGGATCCAAAAGTGTGGTATAGCAAGCTTAAGCAGTGAACAGTTCTCTGAGTGGTGCTTTCAAAGCCCTTTGAAAGTTACTTATGAATAGGTTCCCTTGTCAGGGAAAGAAGGGAAATCTTCAAAAATTTGTATTATCCCCTATGCACTACCCAGTTGTAGAAGTGCGATTTTCAACCCAATCTGGCACCAAAGGTCGTCTGCCGAAATAGAACTGCCACCGTGCCTGCAGCGGCCGCCAGGGCAATGCGCTGGGGTGTGGGTAAGGCCTGGCCCCTCGTGGGAGTTACGAGGTCCTGGGCAGCAGGCTTTTGTCATGTCGGCTACGAGGGTTCCTGCAAGTTCATGTATGGTTCATGCTTCGCAAGGTAAGTAAACTCGCTGAAGCAACGACATGATGCGCGGCGCCAGGTCCTGAACAAGCAGGACCCAGAAAAGGGACCCAACATCGGTGTAGTACAGGAGTTGGTAGAAGAAGTGGATGGGATATAAGGACAGCATCAAGGAATTCGCCGCAGCCAGCTTAGGATCCAAGTGCCTGCGCAACAGCCGGTAGCTGACAAGGTTCACCTCTACTGATCTTAAGGAACCCTAGCAAAACTTACAATTTTATAGCTGTTTCTTAGGAACTATAGCGCCCAAAAATGAAAAAAATCCCAAAGATCCTTAAGTCACTCCCAAACCGAAGATGAAATTGTCAAGGCGAAGCAGGTCTTTGCTGCAGTAGCTTGCGCCGCTGAGCCCGGCCCCCCTCGCAAGAGAGCTGGACAAGTAGAGCCCAGGGAAGGTGGTAATCTTCGGATCCCACTCGTCAAACTTTCCTAGGCAGTATTTTTGTGCCTGTGGCACATGGAAGATTTCATCCATGTATGGCTCCACGCCCCGCATGATGAAGACCCACGGGGCTAGCAGGCAGCTGTGCACAAGGAGCGCCACGAACCACATCTTCGCAAGAAACCCGAATGGGTGTTTTCCAAAAACCGGGGTACCCCTCTTTTTATACCAAAAAATAGAACAGAGAGCCGTTACAAAGGTCCCCAAAAAGGGTACCCCTACGGTACTTTCGGAACCCCCCCAAATCTTACGTACACGTCGTGGGTGACAGGGCTCTCGCTTGCACTGAAGATGCCTGTTGAGGGATTTGGATTTACAGTAGGGCTTCGGGGTTGTGATCTCCGCAGTTTGGTTCATCAAATGGCTGCAAAGTTGAGGACTGGAGGGAGGGGGTCACGAAGCGAGGACTGACGTAGAGACATGGTGCTCAAAAAGCAACTTCTGCTCCCACCCAATATTGGCCCTTCTCTATTGCACGTCTACCAACTTCCGCCGAGATGCCAAGGCTTCAAATTTCTCATCCGCAGACTTATCTCTGTCCTGCACACAAGCTGATTTCACAAGCCGCGTGTCTGTCGGTTGCGCCTAACTGTGGGGATCTTACAAGCGATGCAGACTGCTTGGGATCAAGCAACCGTGAAGCATTTTTTGACAACACGTGGTGGTCGCAAAACACGAACTGGAAGCTCCAATGAATATAGTATAGGGGCCCATGCAGTTAGAATGGGGTGTTTTGGGCAGTTTTGCGAGGACTTGTACTTGGGGTAGTGTTTTCTATTAAAGAAGCACAGGTTCATATTTCACCCAGCTTCAGCAGCGAATACAGGAATTGAACTGGCTTGAGAACGTCGGAGAAGTTGTGCAGTTGCACGTGTACTTCTTGCGACAATGCCCCCTCCAGCTGCTACAGGAAGAGTCGAGGCACGGCACCAAGCACTGATCTTCAAAGCCCAATATCAACACCTCCCATCCTCCTCCTCCTCCCTCCCCACCACCCACACACACATGTATACACACATATATACACACGCACACACGAAACCCAACCCTGGACCATCAAAGTCTCCCAAGCAGCAAGAGGTCATGGCCTCCAGGAGCGTGCTCAAGTCCTTGAGCTCGCTGTTCAACACCTGCTCTGCTGCGGCGTTGCTCGTACCCCTTACCTACTATTTGCTTAAGAACCCCTAAAAAGCACAAGGGAACAGTCCCCATATTGCCCTTCTAGGAAGAATACTGTTCATTTGTTTGGGGGGTTCATTCCCAAAGAAACTTGGCCAGCAACAACCCTAAACCCTAAAAAGGGCGGAGCCTGGTATGGGCTATACCCCCCTGAGAACCACAATGACACGAGTGGGTGGTTGTCAAAATTATGATCCCTTTTGGGTACCCTAAAAGTTCGGTGCCATATTATAATAGGGATCCAAAAATGGACCATAATTTTGACAACCACCCAAGCAGGGTTTCGGGTTTAGGCTTGTCTGATTTCGCGTCCTTCCCTTCAGCTTCATATACTCAGTGTCTAGCTTAGACGACGCCAAAGGTGTCTGACACACACAGTGTGCGCGTGTGTGTTCCCGGAACTACCACTTTCTCACAGACACGGAAGATTTCCCCCAAACTCACTTAAGGATCCTGAGCATAACTTAAGGATCCTTAGCGTAACTTAAGGACCCTTAGCATAACTTGAGGATCCTTAGCATAACTTAGGGTATGTTCCTGGAGTTCGGGATACCGGGAAGTCTGGCTTCTTTGCTCACTTCATGTCATGCGCTATTGCTTCACTCGCTTGCTTCCCTCGTGAAATTAGCGAACAGAGCGAAGCAAGAATCAACGAAAAAAAGAAAGCGCATAACTTTCATTGCTTTGTTCGGGCTAGCTCTTGATGCCATTCGTCAGAATGTGCATCAAGAAACCTCATGATAAACCGTGGCTCGTTCGGGCTTCTTATGGCTCAACGGGGCGCTCAGTATATGCCCTTCAGGTCCTCGCAGTCTTGCAGTGGTTCACGAGCACTACCGCTCTTAATAACCTGGAATTCGCGCCGGCAAAACGTTTGTGTTGCTTGACAACTTTGCTGGAACTTTCCAAACACACCTAGACCCTGAGTCACCTAGGAAACATCAGGGTGCCGCTTTTGGGTGACGAAGGGCTTCTAAGTTAAGGGAACTTGGGACGTTTCCCCCTCATACTAACAGTCCTGAATAGGGATTCTCATAGGGGGTACTGTGATCCCTATGAAGGACTCTCAGGGGAACATCTCAACTAAGGGAACCTAAGCCCTAACCAAAACAAGGGGGAATAAGGGCCTACTCTAGGTGCGAGACCTCCTCGACATCATCTTCTCAATCTACCATTTGCTTCATTGAGAACCCGCAAAAAAGTTTTTTCTTATAACAAATTTAAATATGTATACATATATGTATGTATATCTATATATATATATATAATCCCTATTTTGTGCTTGCAAGGAGGCATCTTGTTGTTTGTTGTTTTGGGTTTGCACTCGACAAGCCTGCCAAGCAGCCTCGAAAGTCTTTTAAATAGACTCAAGTGCTTTGGAGGTTTAAGGTTTAGGGTTTAGGGTTCAGGGGAAAGAGTGTCCCAAACGGCCTGCTGAACATCGAAGAGCTCTTTCTTGACGGATCGATGGAGCTCCTCCACGTCCTGCGCTCGTGTTAACAATACCTTATTGACACGGCCTGCATCTTGTACACTTGGCCTCACATGGATGGCCTGCACGCAGAAATTATCTTAGTTGCTGAGTTCATAAGCCCCAAAAGTGTACACTTTCTGATCTATACGGGCTTATAGTACCCCAAAACGTGCAAAGTGTGCCCACTCAACTACTGAGATAAACATAAAGCCCAAAGCAAGAAAACATGCAACCGCACAAGGGCGTTCGTGGTCTTGCGTTGGCCCCTTGTGACTCTCTGTGGCAGACAAGAGGGTGCAGCCGATCAATGGCTAAAGAGGGTTTAGGGTTTAGTTTTTTTTTTCCTCCTGGGTTTAGGTGTATGACCACTGTGAGAAATCCAAAGCCCCCATATCAATGGCTCCAATCCCGCCAGTATAGGATGTCAGAAGCGTATCCGCAATTCTGGGCCTGCAGCTTGTGCAAGGCAGTGATGCCGTGCAGCACGTCAATTGGGCATCTGATTCCTACTTTTTCCAGCAAGCCTACCTTTTTGCCCGTTTTTGAAACTGGACTGTAGACGACTGCCAAGGAAAAACGCTAAAATCTAAACACTCAACCACGAAACTCCCAGACCATTCCGTAATATACCGTAGGAATACTTAGTAGCCCAGAAAACATATTACAAAAAGGGTACCCTTGTCTAGTTGGTTACTTTATAAAGGGAACCCAGGACCCAAAAAAAGGGTAGGGGTACCACGGGGCTACCAGGAATAAGCAAGCTGAAGGCATCGTAATCATGGCAACAATATCCCTAACCCTAGACCCTAAACCCTAAACCCTAAACCCTGAACCCTACACCCTACACCCTACACGCTGAACCCTGAACCCTGAACCCTGAACCCTGAACCCTAAACCCCAAACCCCAAACCCTAAACCCTAACCCCTAAACCCTAAACCCTAAACCCTAAACCCTAAGCAAGCTGAAGGCATCGCGGCGGGGGCGATCCTCGGAAGAGGGCTTCGCACCTTCCACTTGTGCTTCAGATGGCCGCCCCTTCAATTTGTCGATCTCCTGGGGTCGGCACTTGGTTGGTTTGTTTAGAGTTTAGGGTTTAGGGTTTAGGGTTTGGGGTTTAGGGTTTGGGGTTTGGGGTTTGGGGTTTGGGGTTTAGGGTCTAGGGTTTAGGGGTGTACAGGGTATATGACCCCGCCCACCCCCCCCCCCCCAATTTTGCCCAGGGTTGTGTCCAAAGTTCGGGTTTAGGGCTATTTGCTTGAGAATCTTGTCTGTTGGTTGCAAACCTTGACAAAGGAGTTCACTTGCTCCTGTACTTGTCCTGGCTCTGACGCAGCCATGATGGCCCCTAAACCCTAAACCATAAACCCTAAACCCTCATTCGTTCAGATAGGTGTTGGCCATTGCCCTTCCGCGAGGTAGCATTAAGCTACCAGCTAGCAGGTCATAAAGGGGCCTGCCTCATGAGAATTGGTATTCTGCATAGTTCACGCTACGCTCGTACTCTTAGTTGCTCAGGTCATCAGGTCTATAGGGGATTTATTAAATTTTCCCCAGACATGTAAAGTGTGCTCATTCTTACCCTAAACCCTAAACCCTAAACCCTAAACCTCAGCTACTAAGTGCTCATAGGAATTCTCAGGTGCGCATCTGTCCTCGGACAGCTCGTCGCAGGACTTCTTCAAGCTGTCCTGAGGTGTCTCAGGAAGCTGCCCCGCGTTGTGAAACCCAGATGGTTGTCTTGTTTTTTTTCGTACCTTGTACATATATACATATATATGCAATATATATATACACACATATATACAACGAATCGGATGAGGAATTCCTGTCGGCAGCCCGCCAAGTAGGCCTTAATCGCATGTTTGACACAAGCCCCAGCAGCCTCGGCCAAGAAGTTCACTCTGATAGCATTATTCCTACCGTACTGCAAGGGCAAGAATAGCGCGCCTTTTGGTATATTTAATATGTGCTTTTACTTTTCCCCCGTTCATGCTGCAGGTCGAGGGGCAATCCTATCGAAAACGGATGCCAGCTGAGATGTCACTTCTGCTTTCACGATCGCCTGGGCTGCAAGGAAGGTTCTCAGCCCCAGGCCTGCAAGTTACCGCCCTGCTCTCCAAGACTTACCAGACTTTGAAGAAAAGGGCAGCAGGACAGAATTTTTCCTGAACTGTGAACTGAACCTCTGTATGAACCTCTATGAACCTCTCCGGCAACCCGAGATTGAGCATGGCGCATCCTGGACATGCCTAAGTCAGTAGGGGCTCCACCAATGACTAGGCTGGGATCCTTTTGCGGTGGGGAGTGTGCAGAGTCGGGTAGTGCCGCAGGCTTCCGTCGCAAACGCAGCAAATCAGTGGCCGTGGTTGCTGGGCCCGTCCACATTTGTTCCCCGACTGCTAAGCAAAACATGATCTAGCACGGCCCTTAAAACGCTCTGAAAACTATCCCTGAATAGATTCCTCTTAAACCCAATTATACTAGTAACAACAATCATAATCATAACAATAATAAAGAGATCCAAGGGCTTACCCAGGGGTTCTCTTCATCCGGTCTTCTCGTGTCCTGCATTTCATGGCTCCAGTTTGCTGTGCTCCCGGTCACATTTGGGATTGCGCGCCGATGTGCAAAGCACAAGCAAATTACATAAACCCTAAACCCTAAACCCTAAACCCTAAACCCTAAACCCGAAACCCGACCCTAAAACCATAAACCCAATCTCGGAATCGGCCAAGAGGCCCGGATGTCTTCTGCGCCCGGGAGCTCTCCCCGAGCGAGGCTGCTGACCTCTGCCGGCTTCTGCTCAGCCAAGAGGTCGGGCTCCTAGAACGCAAAGGAAGGAGGGTTTAGGGTTTAGGGTTTAGGGTTTAGGGTTTAGGGTTTGGGCTTTGGGCTTTGGGCTTTGGGCTTAGGGCTTAGGGCTTAGGGTTTAGGGTTTAGGGCTTATTATAGGGTTTAGGGTTTACGGTTGAGGGTTGAGGGTTTACGGGTTAAGGGTTAAGGGTTTGGGGTTGAGGGGCATGCCGGGACAACTTCGATCCTTGCTAACCCAGGAACCAGATTATCACAAGGGCACCACGGGGCTACCAAGGATTCCAGCAGTGGCAGTTGACCCTAAACCCTAAAACCCCAAGCCACAATCCTCATGTGCTCGCCAGTTCTGCGCCTAGTCAGCTGCCACCAGCTGGCTCCCAAACGCCGGACGATGCTCCCACACACCCGGTAGACAAAAAGTTGGTACAAGTCAGGCCCACCTACTTGTGCAGACCCTAAACCCGAAACCCTACTTGGAGGTTCATGGGTACTGATAAGTAGGATTTTTGGTTGGGTTCCCCATGAGCCTCCCACTAAACCCTAAACCCTGAACCCTGAACCCTAAACCCTAAACCCTAAACGACCCTGACTCCGCCTTCAGCTTCGCATCCGCAGGTCTGATGCTCGGCATGGGAGCCAGGGACATCATGATGGCCGGCGGCAGCTCCTCTAGGACTGGGACTCACTCTAGTGAAACCTCAAAAAAATTAACAGAATCGATACAGCTGTAACCCTAAACCCTAAACCCGAAGAACCCCAAGCCAAGCCTCAGGTCTGGGACGTAGACTCTGCCATGACGACCCAAAAACGCAAAAGCCCCAAAGACCCCAACTAGGGGTTTTTTGTTTTGCTTGTAGGGATTAGGGTTTGGCCTTTAGGGTTTAGGGCTATAGGGTTTAGGGGGTTGGTTGGGTTTAGGGTTTAGGGCTATAGGGTTTAGGGGGTTGGGTTTAGGGTTTAGGGTTTAGGGTTTAGGGTTTAGGGTTTAGGGTTTAGGGTTTAGGGTTTAGGGTTTAGGGTTTAGGGTTTAGGGTTTAGGGTTTAGGGTTTAGGGTTTAGGGCTATAGGGTTTAGGGGGTTGGTTGGGTTTAGGGTTTAGAGTTTGCCCATGCTCGCCGTCCTTGCCATCTTCAGCTTTCTCGGCGGTCTTTGGCTTTGCAAGTATGGCCTCCTGAGGAAGGAAGGTGCAGCTTCTATGGGGCATGAGATGTGCGCGACCATCGGTTGGATCTCCCCTTCCCACGTGTTCAGCCGGTCCTTGTTCTCACAAGCTTCAGCAGCTTTTGAGCCAAACATGACCTGAACCAAGACCAAGAAACCCTAAACCCTAAACCCTCAACCCTAAACCCTAGCCCTAAACCCTAAACACTCGACTGCGAAGTGCGTGACGTCCACCACAGACTCCTTATATTCCCTGGGACCAAACGAACTCGAAAATCAGGGTCACAAAACCTAAACCCTAAACCCTAAACCCTAAACCCTATACGACTATAGTTCCGATGAAGGTCTATGAACCATGAACCTGGGGATCTTTTCTAAGAGTCCTTCATGGGGATTCGAGTACCCGCGATGACCCTATTAAAAACTGTTAGTATAAGGGGAACATCCCAACTCTAACCCCTAACCCCTAACCCCAGACCCCTAAATCCTAAATCCTAAACCCTAAACCCTTTGGGGGCCGACCTTCTTGTCTGCGAAGCTGATTGTGTTGTCGACGTCCGGCAGGAGCTCGTCCAGCCCATTCTGGCGCATTACCGTCGCGCGTGCGATTTAGATGAGTGTGGGGGGGTAGGGTTTAGGGTTTAGGGTTTAGGTTTTAGGGTTTTAGGGTTTTAGGGTTTTAGGGTTTAGGGTTTAGGGTTTAGGGCCTAGGGCCTAGGGTTTAGGGTTTAGGGTTTAGGGTTTAGGGTTTAGGGTTTAGGGTTTAGAGCGTAGGGTGTAGGGTTTAAGGTGCAGGGTTCAGTCGCTGTTCGCGCAGCAACGAGCCAGAAGCCTGCAACAAGTTACCCGAGACACCTAAATCGCAGTCAAACACGACTTAAGACCATGCCAAAATTTAAAACACTTAAAGCCTTCATTCTCACCCAACCTAAATATCCAACCACACCCTACTTACATAAACACTTACGAACCCGACCCTAAACCCTGAACCACACTTAAACCCTACTCTACCTAGTTACAGCCGACAAATTTGAACCCTGAACTAAGGCGTCCCCTGAGGACCCCGTGACCTCCTAAAAGTGATGTGTAGTGCTCCACCGAGCCACCGGATTGACGAAACCTGGGAACCTTCCCTGGGGACCAAATGAACCCTACCATTGGGGTTTAGGGTTCAGGGACTTTTGTTTAGGGTTTAGGGCGCCTGTACTACTATCATCCCTATAAGGCTAATATGAAGCGTAAACATATACCCTATACTATACTACTATAATCCCTATTTGAGTGTATGAGCCATAAACCCCGTTAGGGTTCATTCGGTCTTCAAGGTGGTGGGAGATTTCACACTTAATTACTAATAACGTACTGCGACAAAGGACAGCAACATAGGGTTTAGGATTTAGGGTTTAGGGTTTCGGATTTAGGATTTAGAATACCCGTGCTTTTTAGGATTTAGAATGCCCGTGCTCTGTGAAGTGTCGATTTGGATTCTTGCGCCAAACACTAGTGCATGTTCAATTTACATATTCTACCTGTTGTATCCTCAGCCCGAAGCCCCTGAATTCTCAAGCCTATAGTTAAGTCTCCCCAAAGGCCCCTACTATAGGGGCCTTCATAATTAGAACAGGGTTTTTGGTGGGGGTTATTCTGGCATATTTACAAAGGGACCATAAGTGGGTTTGGGGGGGGGGTTACTGTATTCTGGCATATTTTACAAAGGGACCATAAGTACAAAGGGACCATAAGGGAATACCCAAAGAGCCCAATATTGCTTAATTAAGGAATGATATCTTAAATCATATTAAGGATCCCTATATGATTTCAGGAATATTCCTTAATTAAGCAATATTGGGCTCTTTGGGTACTCTTAGTAGTTCTTCCGACCCCCATGCCCGCAGACAAACCTTCAGCAGGCTTCTGGAGACTCGCCGGGGCCGGGTCGTGGGCTCCCGCGGCGTTTGCAAATTCTGGCTTCCCCACATCCCCCCCCCCAGAACCCCTTAATTGAGGATACCCGAATTGATACCAAGGATCATGATTCTGAGCTCGGGTCTGTTCCTTCATGAAGGGGTTTTTGGGAAGATCTGGGTTGTAGACAGTGAATCCAAACACACAAACATTGGATTGAAGACACTTCTTGGGCGTTTATCGGGATGATGGGATGCCCCCCCCCCCCCCGCCCCCCCCCTCGTCTTCGCATCCTCCAGCAGGGCGACAAACGTGATCAGACACACACCCTTAGCATGTGACAAGGCGCCGGGGGGGCTTGTTTGGAGGTTGGGGTAGGGCTATAAGTACCCTGAATAGGGTTTAAAGTATCGCTTCCAGACTTATAGCCCTACTTATAACGACCCATGAACCTCCAATGACTCCATGTTCCCTAAACCCTAAACCCTAGAGCCTAAACCCTCAACCCTCAACCCTAAACCCTAAGCCTCAACGAGATAACGACACATCTGGTGGGTGCCTGCGACATCGTGTCCTGAAGGGCATCATCCACCTCCCAGTTCACTCACTCTCTCTGTCTCTCTCACAAACCCCTTTGTTTAGGGTTAGGGTTTAGGGTTTAGGGTTTAGGGTTTAGGGTTTAGGGTTTAGGGTTTAGGGTTTAGGGTTTAGGGTTTAGGGTTTAGGGTTTAGGGTTTAGGGTTTAGGGATCCCTATGTATAACTTAAGCCCAGATCTTCCAAAACCCCTTAGTTAGGGATTGTACCCTAATTTATGCTGAGGATCATAATTATGAATTAGGGTCGATGCCTGAATTAAGGGGTTTTGAAAGATCTGGGAGGGATCTTCCTTCATGAAGGGGTAGGGGGCCCGCTGGGCACACCAAAGCTCCAGGCAAAACAGCCAGAAACATCCCAAAGCAGCGGGCTTCAAGACCCTTTTGGCCCCAAAGCCTTTTTTTTGCAACCCTAAACCCAAAACCCAAAACCCTAGACCCGTTTCGCCGCAGGCTTTGAGAATCAGAGCTGAAATCTTGTGGAACCCAGATTCGGACAAGCCAGGCTGGGGGTATAGGGTTTGGGGCCTAAACCTAGGGTTTAGGGTTTAGGGTTTAGGGTGTAGGATTGGTGTTTCGGGTTTAGGGCTTAGAAACCCTAAACCCTGAACCCTAAACCTTTTCGGGTTTCGGGTTCAACTCTACCCCCCCAAGCCTCCTCCTTCTCAGACCCGGTCTGAGGCGGCCGAAATAGAGGCCCAGCCTGCGGCCGGGTGTTTCGAGGGTTTAGGGTTTAGGGTTGAGGGTTGAGGGTGCAGGGTCTGGGTTTCAGGGCCTTAGAGGCTGCAGCCAGGGTTTAGGGTTTAGGGTGTAGGGGGCCCTTTTGGGGCTGTTTGGGAATCAGGTTTGCAGGGGTTTTTAGGCTTGTTTCGCCAGCCGCCTATAGCTACGCTGCGCGGGGCGAATCCCTCGTGAAAATAAACCCTAAACCCTAAACCCTAAAATACAGCAGCCCTGCCTAGCGATTGCGCTCATACTTCTGCGGCACACTCGGCAGTGGCTTTTGCTGCTAGGTTGTAGACTGTAGGTGTGGTACTGCCCAGATCTTCCCAAACCCCTTAGTTAAGGGATATAACCTAATTCATAATAATCATAATGATCCTTAGCAGAAATTAGGGTAGACTCCTTAACTAAGGGGCTTTGGAAGATCTGGAAATCTACCCTTCCGGCCTCGTGCCCAGGAACACCAGCGACTTTCGCCTGCCGCTTCTTTGCCAAACCCCCTTTGCCAAACCCTAAACCCTAAACTGTAAACCCTAAACCCCACAAGGCGACTTAGCCATCTGCAACTGCCGCAGCGAGTCAGCGAAAACGCCCTAGCAGCACTGCAACACTGTCTTCCCTCTATGCCCCAGTATCCAGGTCTTCTAAAAACTCCTTGATTCAGGAGTATACCCTAATTTATACTAAGGATCATGATTATGAATGGGGCATATCTTGAAAGTTTTGGAAGATCTGGGTAGCACGTGGCAGCGCAAGCATTGGCCGACATGTTCAAGGACTGCTGTTTTCGAACCTGCCTGCAATCTTCGAGGGCTTTTTGTTATATGGCATGCAGCTAATAGCAGGAACCGCAAAAACCACACAAACATAGGGATTCCACAAGCACGTTTTCCAGAAATCGCCATGACAGGGCCCCTTACACCCCAATAGTGGGATCCGCCTGTGTATGTGGTTTTTGGACCCCTGACGTAGCCATGAAAGCTCTGAAGAAGCTGCTTCCAGAAAGTATAGTCGAGCGGAGCCGGCCCAGAAACCTGGATGTCTGGGTTTCGGGCTCAGGGGCTTTTTTTGGGCGACCGCATAGCTGGACGAACCACTGGGCAGGGATCTAGGGTTTGGGGATTTTAGGGTTTAGGGTTTATATAGGGTTTAGGATCTAGGGTTGAGGGTCTTTGGATGGTACACGTCTCGATTTGTGCGTGTCATCGCAGGGGGCCATGCCAATCTTCTCTGTAGGTTTTAGGGTTTTGACTCTCACAGGTAGCGCGCACGCAAGCAAGGGTTTAGGGTTTAGGGTTTAGGGTTCAGGGTTCAGGGTTTACTGGGGTGTGAATCAAACATGCTGGTAAGCACGTGCCATGCAGCCCCGCGATGGCCCCTGAGTGTTTCGCCAGGGCGACACCGCAGTGTCGTCTTCAAAAGGAACCCACCGTCTCCGTTCCGCGGGAACCGCTGCGCTGCTACAGGTGCAGCCTTCAAAGCCGCACCTGCTGACCTGGTGTTAAACTGGCGCCGGGCTGAGCTGTGTCTACAACTTTTCGCACTGCTCATGCGGCAACGCCGGGAAAGCGCTGGCCCTGCTGCGTCGGGAGCTGACATCAGGGTCTGATTTCTGCAGCCGCCAGCGCCAAAACTGTGTTCCTGTTGTCTCATGACCAACAGCCGAAGCCGATTGAACAGCCCAAGGGGCGCTGCAACACTGTCACCGTTGTACAGTAAGCTCTTTGGCTGCCACAGCACTAGACGTGGGGACACTTGCAAACTTGTGGCTTGTTCCGCATGCTCAAGCCTGTTTTGGAAACCTGCATGCAGCGTTCGCGGGCTGTTCATGACGGCCCGGCTTAAAGGCCCTTCAATAAGTTGCGTCCAGAAATTTATAGCCCGCGAAGGATCCAGGATGGGTCATCAAACGACACTCGATACCAGAATGGGCTATTAGGCCTTATACCCAGATGTTCCAAAACCCCTTAATTACGAAATTAGACCCCACTTGATACTAAGGATCATGATTATGTACTTCGGGTATAGTCAATAAGTAAGGGGTCTTTGGAAGATCTGGGTCCAGACCACCCCATGAAGGGATATTTTGAGGGGTTACAAGGTACAATGGCCCATCCCGATACTTCTACTTGGAGGTTCATGGTACTGAGTATAACCCAGTTTATAACTGTACTTATAACCCAATTTTAACCCTATTCGGCTACTTAAAGGGCTTGAAACGACCCTGATATGTAGAATACAAGGGGGGCGCCTTTGCTCACCCCTAGCTAGAAGTAAGTTACAAGTACAGTTATCAGTTATAATTGGGCTATAACTACCATGGACCCTCAACCCTAAACCCTAAACCCTAAGCCCTAAGCCCTGAGCCCTGAGCCCTAAGCCCTAAGCCCTAAGCCCTAAGCCCTACACCTCCAAGTAGGGGCTGAAGCCAGTGAAGCGTGCATCCACGCCGTGGCGCAAGGCCGAACGGGAACGGCGAGGCGCCGCTGCTCTGCTGTGGGTGTACGGCGTACTTGGAAGTTCGTGGGTACTTCTAAATAGGGTTTAGGGTTTAGGGTTTAGGGTTTAGGGTTTAGGGTTTTGGGTTTAGGGTTTAGGGTTTATAAGCACCCTATGTAAGTTTATATAACCATAGTTACCCCCTACTTATTGCTCTACTTAGAAGTACCCATGAAACCTCCAAGTACGAGTAGTCTCAAAGCCACACCAGCAACGTTCACACTGCTCTCGCGGCAGTAGAAAGCCCTAAACCCTAAACCCTAAACCCTAAACCCTAAACCCTAAACCCTAAACCCTAAACCCTAAACCCTAAATCCTCCTGCACTTGGCGCTGACATCAGGGTGGTTAGTCGCCATCAGCAACTCATACACCAACTGCGGTCCTGCAGCGTCATGATGAACAGCCGTAGCCGATTGAACCAACCCACCCTAAACCCTAAACCCTAAACCCTAAACCCTAAACCCCAAACCCTAAACCCTAAACCCCAAACCCTCTCTCTCTCTCTCTCACAGGCGCTCAGTCAATGTCAGGCCTCTCGTGGCATCACAGCCAGCACAAAAGATAAACCCTAAATCCCCTATGCGTTGCCTCACGAGCTCTTTCGTGCCAACTGCCCTTCATGTTCTGGTTGTATCTGGGATGGCCCTCGAAACCTCTGAAAAAAGATTCCAAACTCTAGGGTCCTCTTAAACCCAATAAGAGAAAATATGTAAACCCTAAACCCTAAACCCCACACCCCAAACCCTATATAAACCCTAAACCCTAAACCCTAAACCCTAAACCCCAAACCCCAAACCCTAAACCCTAAACCCTAAACCCTAGGCAGCGATGGAACAATCGCAAGCTCATGGCTGTTCGGCGCGCGGCTAGAGGTAAAGTCGCCGAGAGTGGGGCCCAGGGTCCAGGATGGGTTTAGGGTTTAGGGTTTAGGGTTTAGGGTTTAGGGTTTAGGGTTTAGGGTTTAGGGTTTAGGGTTGTCAAACGCAACCTTTCGGGTTTAGAGTTTAGGGGTTCGGGGCTTAGGGTTTAGGGTTTAGGGATACTTCTTATGGGAGCTAGAGGCTGGCTCATCCTGGTGTGTGCCACAATCTCCAGGCGGCGGCGCGCATGCTACCCTGACCCCGATCACTTCGCCAAGGCAAAGCCGTTTAAGTGGCGCTTCCTGGTAGGGGGTTCCCTAAACCCTAAACCCTAAACCCTAGTTTTAGGGTTTAGGGCTTCATGTGAGCGTGACATTTATGAACGGGGTGACAACTGTAGAATTCGGAGGGCTGCACTGCCTGACCCTAAACCCTAAACCCTAGGCCTTTAGCCCTTTCAACCCTTAACCCTTTCAACCCTAAACCCTAAATCTTCACCCTAAACCCTAAACCCTAAACCCTTTCAACCCTAAACCTTTCACCCTGTCAATGTCCAGCTTCACCACAAAGGCTTTTCTCTGCAGCACCGGCTTCTGCCGAACTGGCGCTGAGCCATGGCGGCTTCTGGGTTCCTCTTTTAGCAACTTGCATGAAGTCACCATAAGAAGGGTAGATATATCTATATATCAGCAATAATGAAAGGGAACCATATCATTTACTTGGTATCCCTGTCTGTATAACAAGAAGCTTTGACGTTTCGCGCTGCTCTTGTGGCAGCCTGTGCAAACCAGCATTTGCCAATCACGGCGCGCTGAAAACAGAGCGCATCAGTCACTGCCTAGCGTCAACAAACTCCCGCACCAGGAATAACAAAGAAAGCCTACCACTGGCGATTCTGATGCTTTCGTCGGTTCTGCAACGTGACCTAAGTATGCTCAAGGCAGCTAGTAGCGCCAGAGGCAACGTGGGGCCCCTCAGCGCAGCCTGAAGGGCAACGGAACGGAAGAGTCATTCTAGCGTCAAAAGGCCCATTTGGACTCGCACTACATGCGGCGACAGCTCATCCCGAATCAGCATGTCTCACTCCGCCCTCCTCTCTTCCTGACGGTATCCAGATCTTCCAAAAGCCCTTAAGTAAGGAACATACCGCTAATTTATACTAAGGATCATTGATATGAATTCGGGTATATCCCTTAACTACGGGGTTTCTGGAAGATCTGGGTACCTAACAATTGCATCACGTTCACAAAATACTTCGAAGTGGCTTCGCCTGCTCGTCTTTGAAATGCGGATAGGCGGACTGGGCCGGTCAACATCACAAGACTGACCCGTACCATTGAAAACCGATAGGCAGGTCACACCGCAGGTTCCCTGATCTCGGGCCCCAACAAAAAAGGGACCATAGTTGGGGAACTTCCGGCTTGTTTAACCCCTCTAGGTGCAGCGGAGTAGGGTTAGGGTTTCGGGTTTCGGGTTTCGGGTTTCGGGTTTAGGGTTTAGGGTTTAGGGTTTAGGGTTTAGGGTTCAGGGTTCAGGTCCCCAGAGCGGGACCCCGACATCTCGGAAACCCGCATTTGAAGAACGCCTCGCATGACTCACATGATGTCGCAGCTCGCGCAGGCACCTCCCAGTTCCCAGAGACTCCAATATCCTTTGGGGTTTGGGGTTTAGGGTTTAGGGTTTAGAGTTCAGAGTTTAGGGTTTCGGGTTTAGGGTTTACGGACTGTACCTTAAATCATAGTAGGATCCCTAGTATGATGTAAGGTATACTCCTGAATTCAGGGATATTGGAGTCTTTTATTTCAAGAGGAAACGCGGATTCCACAAGCTGTTCCTGTCCTGCCGCCCCTCACTCAACTAGCATAGTTTGAGTTTAGAGTTGAAGGTTCCCCTAAACCCTACTTTATAAACCCTAAACCCTAAACCCTAAACCCTAAACCCTAAACCCTAAACCCTAAACCCTGAACACGAGGACTCGGCCTGGGGATGCTTCGAGCAGTCGTAGTTTCTCAACCACGTCACCTGCGTCGGGACCGACATATGTGTATAAATATAGATATAAATAAATAAATATAAATATAATATTATATATATATATATATATCTTTATATATATA